AATCAATTAACTGAACTGATAATCAAACATTTAATCAATCAATTAACTGAACTGATAATCAAACATTTAATCAATTAATTGAATCAATTAATCAAACGTTTAATCAGATCAGCTGTTCAGTTTATTACATGATGGCGTTCAGTCCATTAACCAATCAAGACCAACAGGACATCGTTAGGTGTCCTGACACGACTGTAAGACTGTAAGACTGTAAGACTGTAAGACCTGTAAGACTGTAAGACTGTAAGACTGTAAGACCTGTAAGACCTGTAAGACTGTAAGACTGTAAGACTGTAAGACCTGTAAGACTGTAAGACTGTAAGACCTGTAAGCATCAGTTCTGATTGGCTGAATATGAGTGTCCAATCAAACGCTGCTGTTTGTTGAGCAGGAAGCTGATTGGTCAATAAGAGTCTGTAGCTGTTGTGATTGGTCAGCATCTCTGAAGCCCTCACAMGTGACCTGGTACTGGACGGTGGTCTCTGTGTGACCTGGAGATTTAAGGATGGATGCCAGCCGCTGTGACCCCTCCCACTGTAGGAGGAGCCTGGTGGTGGGGGCGTGGCCCCAGCTGTCTCCGAGGGCTGGCACCAACTGTGACTGTGCGCCCTTCAGCCGAGTGGTCATGTGGTTGGTGATGACAACAGCGATGTTGTGATTTGTTGCTATGGTGATAAGTTGCTGGGCGAGGCCTTGGAGGAGGCGTGTCCTCAGAGACAGATCATCAAACATCTGCAGGAACGGGAAAGTCACGCTGTCTATGATCAGGAGGCGGACCTTGGTCCGGTCCTGAAGGAAGGTGGGCAGCAGGTGAAGTTCAGCCAACAGCTCCATGTAGTCATGGCAACGCACCTAAGATGGACGAGCAGTCATTATGAGTCACCGCCACATGGTTACCATGACAACATGGACATTAGTCAGGAAGGATGTGCAGAGTGGGGGCGGGGCTACTTGTTTAATGAAAACATAAATTTAAACAACTCACCTTCTATTCTGTTCCACAAACATATTAACATGTTTATCAGTCAATAATATTATCTAAAACATCTTCAGTAAACTTTTTTAGACCTTTTCAGTGTTTCCCTGGAGTACTGGCCTTGGGGGCGGGGCTTAAGGCTGAGTTACAGTCACACTTTGGGTTGTTGGTAAGCTCTGTGGAGTGCAGCGCTCCTGAGCTGCTGTGTGAAACATAGTTGTTGTTCATGTTATCTCTGTTCTTCTGTCACAGACAGACGGCAGGACGCTGACAAACCAGCAGGAAGAGTGTAGAAGAAGAAACACTTGTCGTCACACATAAAGTAACAATATTTACCTGTTTTATATGATCTGCTTCTCTGGGCGTCATGAACTGAGACAGCCACACGTTTGTTTCCTCCAGGATCACTAACTGATCACAAATATTTTCCCATGCCGTCCGACACATTAACTCATGTTTCTTTAAAGCCGTCAGTGTTTCAGTGTTCTGGTTGTGTTTATGACCTCTCATGCAGGGGTCATACACATGCAGGTCCGTTTGGACCTGTTCAGTGACAGCACCTTCACAACGAGTGCTGCACAACCTTTGTGGAGCTTCAAAATMTCTGAGGTGCACGACCACACGTCAGGACACAACGCACGGGGGCAGCGATGCCGCGATTGCGTAACTTTTGATGCAAACCCCGTCGCGCCCTGTGCGTCGCGTCAACTTTAACCTAAACTTTATGAAAACAGAAGGATCAACAGCAGCTTTGTTTTAAATACGATTTACAGAACAGGAACAAGTCTGAAATTAGCATTAATTAAATCTAATTTAATGAATCTCATATCTAAAGATACATTTAAGATGTGTTGAACTGGAGACTCCATACAACTTAATGATAAATCTAACGTTATTTATACAAGTCAGAATATAATTAGACATTTCTTAAAGAGGTATTTTACTTGTCAAAACATATTAAGAGATGTCTATTTATTTGTTTCATTCATTCATGAGAACAAAACAATATGTACAGCATTAAAATACAAAGTAAACCCTGAATTAAAAGGGAGCAGAGTGAAGAAAAAACTCTTCTTTTCAAAAATCAACTTCAACAAACAAACAAACAAACAAACA